CCGATTCCAGGCAGGCCCCGATTCCAACTTCGTGGCCCAGGGCGGAAACCCGAACTTGGACAAGAACTTGGACAAGGAACTTGGACAATTTTATCACGTGTTTTCCTCTTGCAGAGCCACTTGTCCAAGTTCGCCCGGGGAACTTGGACAAGGAACTTGGACAACTGCGGGCTGCCGTGTTACAAGCTCTCTCAGTATTACGCCCCGATTCCAGGCAGGCCCCAATTCCGTGTGCCTCGCCCCGGCGGAAACCCGAACTTGGACAAGAACTTGGACAAGGAACTTGGACAAATTTTATCACGTGTTTTCCTCTTGCAGAGCCACTTGTCCAAGTTCGCCCGGGGAACTTGGACAAGGAACTTGGACAACTGCGGGCTGCCGTGTTACAAGCTCTCTCAGTATTACGCCCCGATTCCAGGCAGGCCCCGATTCCGTGTGCCTCGCCTCTCTCTTTAGAGGGCGTTTCCCAAATGGATTCTATTCTACCTGAGAGGCTCCCAGCACTCGTCCGTCCAGCATTTGACCTCGTCCTGCGAAGGATTCGAAGTCTAAAACGCTGCGTGCAGGCGTGTGGCTGCAAAATAATGACCCCTAGATATGCGCCGCAATTTGGCTCCAGGTTGCATTTCAAGCGATGTCAACCTTTGCCAAAGGAAACCCCTTTTCCCTTTTTTTCGGGGACCCCTTTTTTTGGGCCCCTTTTTTCTCTTTTTTTTTGGTTTTTTCTTAGCCCTGCAAAGGTTGGCTCGCTTGAAATGCAACCTGGAGCCAAATTGCAAGCATATCTAGGGGTCATTATTTTGCAGCCACACGCCTGCACGCAGCGTTTTAGACTTCGAATCCTTCGCAGGACGAGGTCAAATGCTGGACGGACGAGTGCTGGGAGCCTCTCAGGTAGAATAGAATCCATTTAAAGAGAGAGGCCGGGCCCTCTGCAGGACGCATCCTCCCTGCATACTCATGCACGCATTGCATATATGTGTAACATACCCCTTTTTGTCTCCCATGAGTAACACACCCTGTGCAGGTCGAACACGCAATGTTGACCTGAGGGGTATTCCATGCAGGAGATGGAGTGGACCGCGCATCACTCCACCTGCATCTCAGAGTCTTACTTCTAAGCAACGCTCAAGTAAAAAAGGCGCGCGTCAAGTTGCTCCGGTCGATGGCTTTTTTCCCTGCATGTTCCTTTAGGCTTGAAGCAGTGACCAAGATTCTAACAACCAAAAAAACAGAGTTTCAAGCTTCCGCTTCTTTGCAGCAGCTGCGCACCATGATCATCATGAATCATGAGCATCATCATTATGTGTTATGAACATCATCAACAATTTTCATGTTGCGCAGATGAACATAATCATCATCATCATCATTCTCAGCAGCAGATCCTCATCGTCCGTTCTTGCAGAGTCACATTCACCATCACCATCGTCCTCTGTCCCCTACCTCACTCATAATCATCATGGGTGGAGATGATGACGATCCTGTGACGGACGATGATGATGATGATGATGAGGGGTGATATCATGACCATCATCAGTTGACGCGCGCGAAGACGATGATTCGCGCTACGAAGATTGATGGGTTGATGATGATGGATGATGATGGTGCGTTACGATCGATGGTGGTGAGGATGATGACAACGATGCATGATGATGGCGATGATGAGGATGATGAATGGGTTTGATGGTGATCATGATGACGGACGATGACGATGATGGATGACGAAGGTGATGATGATGATGATCATCCTCCGCGCCACGACAAGTGTTGTCGTGGGATTTTGCGCGCGCCGAGCACCAATTGAAACGGGCGGAAGATAGAGGCTACGTCTACAATGTCGATGATGATGACGGATGATGGTGGTGATGATGATGATGATGCATGATGATGATGGTGATGCATGAAAATAGGGAGGATGGATCATGATGATGCTGGTCAGATGAACGTTGGTGACGAGATGATGAGGACGATGATGGATAATGATGAAGATGACGATGATGCTCACCATAATGATAGTGAGGATGATGATGGTTGACCAACCTGGCGAGGATGATGATGGGCGACGACGATGATGACGATCGTCCGTTTCATTCTAACAAAATCACGCGTGTGTAAGAAATTAGCTACGACGGCTATGATGATGCAGACGTGACAACCCTGATGATGATGACGATGATCGATGGATGACGGTGAGGATGGATGATGATGGATGATGGTGAGGACGACGATGATGATGGTGATCACAGTTGCATAAAGACCAATCATAGTCACCTTCTTCCTCGTTGAACCATGAGCATCCTCATGTCATATTCATCATCCTCATCATCGTCATCATCACCGTCGTCCTCTATCGTCTACCACCTTCATCATCACTCATGATCATCATGAGTGGAGATGATGACGATCCTGTGACGGACGATGATGATGATGATGATGATGAGGGGTGATGATGATGATGATGATGAGTCCGCGCCACCATGACTGACGCGCAAGAGACACGCGAAGACCACAAGGATGATGACAATGTGACTCGCGCTATGAAGATCGATGGGTTGATGATGATGGATGATGATGGTGCATTACGATCGATGGTGGTGAGGATGATGACGACGGCGACGATGATCATCCATGCCACGACGACTGTCATCGGCCTGACGGCGCAGTTGAAGTGTGTGTAAGATACGGGGTTTGGGTCATGACACCAATGATGCGATGACCACGACGATGATGACAATGACGGAAGATCACAAGGTCATGATGATGATGATGCTGATGATCGCCATGGACGAGGGATGACGATGAACGTCGGTGATGAGATGATGAGGATGATGATGGATAATGATGATGGTTGACCAACCTGGTGAGGATGGTCTTGATAACAAAATCACGCCGAGAGCGCGTGTGTAAGATAAGACGGCTTTGATGATGCAGATGCGACAACCCTGATGACGGTGACGATGATGGATGACGGTGAGGATGGATGCTGATGATGGTTATGGATGATGGTGACGACGACGATGATGAGGATGATCGCAGTTGCATAAAGACGACGATCGTGATGGTTGTGATGGATGATCGATGTTTGCGATTGATCATGAACGACGTGACGATGATGATGATGTTGCTGATGCTGGATGATGAACAGTCGATGGATGATGATGATGATGATGATGAATGACAAATGATGGCTTTTCGGTGTACAACTTAACAAGCCAATCTAATGCTTGAAACTGTCAAGGCCATAACAAGTCAATCTGACCCCTCTCACAAGCCAATCTGATGCTCACAAGTCAATCTAGTACTCCTCACAAGCCAATCTGATCCATCTCACAAGCCAATCTAAAAACGAACAAGCCAATCCAATCTTCACAAATCATTTTGATAAATTTTCAAATCACAAGCCAATCTGATGCATTCCACAACCTAAATTGATGAGCAGACCGAAAGTGGGCAACCTGGCTTTCCGCTGCCCTGGTGGAGACTATTTCCGAGTGAGTTTATTCGTTTAAAGCTTCGGCCCAGCTATTGCAGAACTCGGTGTGTTTCGCTTAAAGGGAGCGGGCGTTTTTGCTTCTTGGAATGATGGCGGTACAGCGATCTTATTTGTGTAGGTCCACAATTACTTGCAGTGCTTTTCCAGTTGGTGCAAGGTTGAGGGGCGGTTTGGTCTTTTCATTGCCATCAGGTTGGGAGGACAGTGGATGCATGGGTGCAATTTTGGAGAGACGGGAAATGCTGGCTGGTCCAGTGTTATCGGTGGCAACTACTTGGTTGCTCGCTGTCTTGCTTTTTTGCTCCAAGCAAATTCTGCGTATGTCACTTCTTGGAGAATGAAAGTGATGGCGCGGAGTTTTTTGCGTGCGAGAATTGAAGTCCGTTTTGCTGAACCAATGGAGTACTTGTCCTGGGCTCACTGGCCTGATGGTTCCGTCGCCGCATTCTACTCCCCAAGTGAGTTCTCGTGCCACAGCTGTCCGCTGGATGCTTTGCTTCTTTGGTGAACTGTATTTTGTAAGTCGGTTTTCGGATGATTGTGGTTTTCGCTGAAACCTTTTTATTTCAGCTTTGCCGCGCGCTTTGTGCAGCAAGTATTCTCGGTGGCCTGTGAGAAAGGAGGCCAGGTGTGCGGTCCCTGTTGGGGACTCACGGCATAGGGCCTAGTGTTTCACCTCTGCTTTTGCCTTTACCCTTTGGGAATGGCCTTTTTGCCGGTTCCATTCCTTCGGGCTGTGCTGTGTACCTGGCCTTTTGCCCCGTGTCCCCCGGACCTTGGGCTAATTAGGGAGGAATTTGTTTGCTTGGCGCTTCTCTGAAGCTTCTTTGTACCATGGACTTTCTGCTTGTCGACCGGCGATTATGCTTCAGGCGGCTTGGGGAAAAATCGTCAAAGCCACGAGAATAAGGCACATGTAAACTTTAGTCACGCCTTTGGTTTTAGGCTGGTTTTGTCGTGGAAGCGTCAACGCCCATAGCAAACATTAAATTCACTTCTCATCAAGACCCAAGAAAGCTGCGCAACACACGGTTGATAGCAACCATTTTTACGTGCAAAATGCGTGGGAGATTGAGATGTGTTGAAGGTTTTGCTCCGCGATGTCCACGTATGCGCGACACGGGCGCTTGCAACATCAACCAGATTCCTGATGCGGTCTACTTCGCGTTACGTTACCGCCCCAAACACGCGCCCCACCGCCAGCAATGAGCTGGAGTTTGTCCGCTTTTGCAGCATCCAGCCATCTTCTTTTTGACAGTTTGCATACATTTGGGTTGAAAGAAATGCACAGTCGTGAAGGTGCTAGGATTGAGGGTGTATTTGGAAAGCATAACTATGCATGGCGACAACTTCTTTGCATAAGTTAGCGGGCCAAGCGGATCATACATTGTCATGGCTCAGGTGGCTAGCGGCTTTCCGTTTGAATGTTGCAAGCACAGCAGACGTTTGATTCAAATATTTGTTTGTTCGTTCTGAATGATTCAAAGAGGACCAAGGACATGCGTTGTGCAAACGGCATGCGATTGAACGCCCTGCTTGAGCAGTACGATGGCATCCTCAATGCAACTCAGGCCATCAGGGCAGTTGTGTTACCGCTTTGTTTGCCGTTGACTTCTCTGGCCAGGTGCCAAAGATTCGCACCTTGATTCTTGAATGCGACGCGCACGATTCCTGCTTTGGTCAGTCGTGCCAGGCCTTTGTTGGGATTTGTTGAATGTTATCGGCTGCCACTTCCCAACAAGGTTTTTCAAAACCTTCGTGCGGACGCAGGTGTCTTTTTGACAGCATTGGCACCCAGCAATAGCTTTCTGCCGTTGCCATCATTTGGCAAAACGGACAGGACGGGCGGCAGTTTTGTGGGTTCAAGCAAGCGGGCAACGTGTCATTTTTCCGCGTCATCCGTATGCACACTTTGCCAGGACCAACAGCAAGCAATCAGATAGCAAAGTTATATCAGAACTTGCTGTTTGGTCAGAATCTTTGGCAGCAAGGTGAGGGCGGGTGAACAAGGTGAGGGCGGGTGAACATGTGCTGCCTATCAATTTTTCAAAGCTTGCTTACATTCTTCCTGTATGCTTTGCCATTGCCTAAGGGTGATTCACCGGATGCACGCCGACTTAGATCTGCGATTGAGAGTATCTTGAGGGAGCAGGAGGCCTGACCAGCTGTTTGACAAGATAGTTGAATGTATTTGAGCTCTTTGGCAATTCCAGGCTTTGCGTGAAGAGACTCCCGCGGTTACAGGTGGTGCATGGTTTTCAGTCTGGAACTCAGTCATTGGGGCGCCGTCTTGGTGTTTGTATCATTTGTTAGTGGTATGCAGGGCCGGAAACATGTTTGCAGTTCTTGACACCCAAGGTTTTGTCAGCTGTGGGCCTTGCACTTCTCGCTCAAACTTCTTGGGCCGGCCCGGCTGCATTGCCGGTAATTGCCAGTGCCATTGCCTCAAAATTTCAGAGCGCTAAGGAGTGTTTAATGGCTTTTATGATTTTTGATGTTTGGCTTTGAGGCTATATTTTCTTACACGTCTGTGGCCGAAAGCTTCGGGACGCAGCGTGGCAGCATTGCTTTTTGCGCACATAGCTTTCTGATCCATACGAGCTCGTCGTTGTAGAACATCCAGTTCCCAAAACTAAGGAAGTCTGTGGGGCTTGGTCGATGCAGCTTTTCCCAGGCGCTTTAACTGGTGCTTCTTTTCTCCCTGCCGCAGCAAGTGTTGTGAAAATAGATGACACACTTGCCTGACGTTGGTGCAGCCCTCTGTTCGCAAACACACCCAAGAGGAATATTTGCTCTTCACCCATGTGTAAGCTCTGGCGCGCTGAAATGGTTTCAGGCGCTCGCAGATGCAGCGGAGCAGGCTGGGCTTTGCATGAAGGTGCTTGAATCAACGAAGGGCGGCAGGCGACAGCACGCTTTGTCAGGAAAGAGCGCTGGCAGCTGCAGAAGGCCCCAAGGCCTTGTTACCCTTTGGAGCAGGATGCACAGCCATCTTTGCGGCAGTTTGTGCCATGGCCTCAAGCGATGAACAGCTAGTGAGAGCCGTCAAGAAGACACATTCACTGCACTCGTTGCCAATTAGGTCACCTTGAAGATTTTTGAAGAGGATCCAGCTAATTTGGCTGTGGCACTGGCGCCGGCAGTTGGGTGGCCGTCCAAAGCCAACAGCTGCACTCCCAGCAAGACAGTTTGGAATCCAGAGACGGAGTGAGGCGCATAGTGAGAGGCGCATGCATATGCAACAGAAGGGCATTTGGGAGTTCCTAGCGTCGGGAACTTTCAACTATTTTCAACGTTGAAGACGAGGCCTTCCCGCGATGCTCGACTGGCTGTTTTGCTTTGCCTCCGCCGCTTGATCTTACCAATAATTTGAGCGGCAGTATTCTGGCTTTGTCAGGGTCATGTTTGTGCGCCGAGGTTTTGGGAGCTGTCGCGACAAATGACAAAGCACTGTCGCTTGCTGTCACCAGTGTTTTTTTGCTTTGTTGTGCTCTTTTGCGGATGTTTGCTCCATTTGACAGCACACACTTTCGGACACAAAGGTCGGTCATCTCGAAGGTGCGGCCGCAATTACGAAACCCATTGCAGGCGGGGGCTGTTTGTGATAGATGCAGAGAAGTTGTACGACGGTGGAGGTACTCCTGGAAACACGCTTTTTACAAGTTATGATACACATTTGGATGGCCGAATTCTGGCACTTGCTCAGACACATAAATAAAGCGGTTTACAAGGAAGCAGAGTGTAGGCAGTCCACAGGGGTTGTAGCCATGCACAGGCCCCCTCGCCCTGTCCCCCGCGTTCCCTCTGCACCGTGGAATGGGTCAGGGGTCCCCCCCCCCGCCTCATACGTCAGTGGTTAGGGGTGGGGGGTTCTCAGGCTGGTCAACGGTTGTTAGTTTAGTGGGTCCAGGCTGGTTTTGGTTTGATTCGGGTTAGGTTCAGGGTGGTGGTTTGGGGCGGCTTTAGGATTGGTTCCCGCGTGCTAGTTGGGGTTCGGTTCCAAAATAGTTTTGGTTTGAGCATGTTGTGTGGTTTAGAGTTAGGCTTGTAAGGGTTGAGAGTTGGTATGAGGTTAGTTTGGCATTGGTTGAGGCTTGTTTGAAAGCTGGGGTTGCTCCAGAGATGGTCCAGCATGGGCGAGGGTTGGTCAGGTTTGGGCTGCGCAGGGTGCTAAGAATGGGCGATGCGGGGATGCCGGGAATACTGGGTATGCTGAGGATGCTGCGTTGCAAAGGTGCAGGTATGCGGTGTGTGTCCTGACACCTACCCAGAGTTACGATATGTCAGGAAGAGGATGATAATGACGAGCCACGAGAGCTCGACGACGGAGACATTGAGGTGAAGAGGGCACAGCAGTATGCGCCATGCGTTCTTCATGCGCTTGAGGTAGGCCTTCGCTCGCGTGTATTGCTGGCGGTTTTCAGTGCTATCGCGTGCTTTCTACCACTCTTGCTGCGCCTTGGTTAAGAGAGTTCCACTATGTCCACTATGAAGCAACAGTATTACAGCTTGGGAACCAACCCGCCATGCTGATTGAGGTTCAAGGAAGCTTCGACAGCTAGCCTCGTTGCTGCTGCGGATGAGATTTGTGTGATCGTGTCAGCCAGTGCAGCAGCACAGACAGCTTTCAGTCTGTGACCTAGAAGAATCACTGATCACTGATTGAGTCATGTTTAGCAATGATTCCACCCTCTGTTTTTGAGGCTTTCTCATTGCGGAAAAGTTCTTTGCGGATGCAGAGCGCCGAGTGGCAGCACAGTCACGACAAGCCGCCTTGTCCGAGTTGTTTTTTGCACAGGCGGGACATGGATTCACAATGACTGCGCGGCAGCGTCGATGATACATGAAGGCAGGCTAGGCATGACATTTTGCCAGGCCACCGCTGATTCTGCCGGGCTGGCAGCAAACAGCGCGTTGAGTGCTAGCAGCTTGGGGGTAGCTTCAGTGGTCACGGAATTCTCAAAGGGAATCGCTGCTTGCGCTGTGTGGCCAGCCGTCCCTGAGCTGCACTCCTTTGCTTTTTGGTCCAAACGATTGTATTCGTCGCTCGCCAGTGTTGTGAAATTTGTGGCAGGTTGCGAGCACCTTTCAGTCTACAGTGAGCGCCGTAACTTCTCGTGCTGAAGCCGATGCTGCCTGGCTTGAGAATCAATCCTCCAAGCGGGCCTCGGAGGGCATGGAAGCAGACATGGACACCGTTGCTGCTGCAGCGCGCGAGTTCCAGCAGCTGCAGAGAGACTTTTTCTTGGATGAGTTCACAGAGAACATTCGCAACGAATTGAAAGCCTTAGAGGTGGGGCAGGTGCGGGAGTTTCGTGGACTCTCCAGAGATCAGCGAAGGAAGGTGCACTTGGTTGCGGCAGAGCAGGGCATGTGTTCCGAGTCCTTCGGCTTGACCCGCCAAAGGATGGCGCGACGCGTCGTAGTGACCAATCCGAAGAATTCTTCAAGCACTCCGGTCAGAAGCTTCTCTGAGGGCATCGGAGGCGATATGCAGAACTGGCTTGAGACTCTGCAGGAGGAGATCAAGGCTATCCAGAAAACCGTACTTCAAAGCGGATGGAAGGAGAACACGTTGGCAGGAGCCCTTGTCTTCGGAAGTGTGGCATCTCCGCTTGTTCTTGGCCAGTCTGGTGCAGAGCTGTTCTTGCCCCTGGCAACGGGAACGGTTGGCCTGTGCTCAGCATGGCAGGAGACTGCAGGCAAGGGAGCAGTGGCAAACGCAAAGAGGCAAACAGCTGTCTTGATGTCAAAGGAAGCACGGGCGGAGACCTTTTTGGGCCGGGCCCAAATTGCCTATGCAGCATTTCCAACGGATGTGGCCATCGCAACCTTGGCAACCACTGCTACCGTGCTGTCCTATCAGTTTCCGCTGACCTTTTTCTGGAGAGCGGTAGCTATGTCAACGGTCATTCCGGCTTATACAGCTTGCTCAGTAGCTATGCATCGCAGACGGAAAGTGGAACGATTCGTGGCTGCTGCAATGAGGTGTGTCGATGCGACGCCAATCCCAACTCAGCGCCGAATTTGGAAGCAGAGTCTTGCTTGACTTCATTTTGCTGCAAGATTCAGCAGAAGAGAACTCATAAATCCTTTGCGGTGAAGTTTTGCCACTTTCAGCTAAGGAGATGTTGGTTGCTTCCACTCATTTCTGCATTGGTGATTCCCTGTGCTCCGCCTGGGCGGGCAACTGTTGCTTGCGCAGCTTTTGCCGCAGAAATTGCTTTGGCGATGGCGGAAAGCTCGCTTCAGTTGGCCAATGCTCAAGGCAGGGACATGCCTATGTTATACACACTGCCAAACTTTGTTTGGTTTAGTGACTGCAGCTAGTGTGTTCAGGCAGCATCGCAAGAGCCAGCCGCGTAGTGGCAACAGCTGATGCTTGGTCACAGCTGGCACAATTTTCTGCCAGAGCCTTGCCAGCACGGACATCATTGGCAGTGGCCGGAACCCCAGGAATCTCAATTTCATGTCGCCTATTGTGTACAAATGCACTGCTTTGTTTTTGAGGTTTCTACTCTGATGGCAACTGCTCTGGTGGAATTTTCCCTTCCTTTGCATCTTGTCACCAACATGAATCCATGTTTTTTTCATTGACTGCACACTTTTTGTCCCACTGTTTCGATGATACACACATTTTTCCCCCAGCTTACAGTCGAGAGCCAGGTGCTCCTTGTTCCCACTTCTGGGAGCAGCAGTTCTTGCGCGCTCCTATCAGTTGAACAGGCCAGGATGCTGTGCCACAACGCCACAGTTCCAATGCTTGCACTTGTTGTATTTGTCTGCACCGCGTCGCTTCACCAACAAATGATGCCAGGCAGGCACAACGGGCTTCGGCAAAGCTAGAAGAGGACGGGCTGGCACAGGGGTACTTTGTGCTTATCCGATAAGGCTTTTGTGACGTTGCACCAGGAGTTCATGGATATGCAGGTGCTGCGAAAGGCGACTCGTACCCACAGACATGTCGCTATGTCGCTATGTCGCTATGTCGACATGTCGACATGTCGATATGCGAGGTGGAGCCCTGGCCCCGCTTGCGCGAGCTGTCTGCCTCTGAGCCGGTGCAGCCCAGCGCCAGGCCCCAAGGGACTGCTTCTCCGTGCCCAGATCAACTCGAGACAAAAGCGTTCTATGCATAACAGCATTGAGTGAGTCAGTGAGTCTGGCCTGTGTTTGAAGGATTGCTTTCTATCAATGCATGCAGTAGGGTTGGTGCCACACTGCTGCAGCTGCTCGTGGCTTTTTGTGCAGTGGGTGTTGCAGCAAACGCAGTGTTGTAGAGAGGGCTTGCTGTGTGAGTTTAGCTGTTGGCAGTCTTTATGTTGTTGCTGCAGCTTGGCAGGGTATCACTGGCTAAGAATGGCAGGAGCCACTCTCCTTCCACTCGCATGCTGGCCAGACCCGTGTTTGGGCATCACGTGGCTTCTCCAGGTGCCTTTATTGCGACTTCTCCTTGCTCCAGTGTCACGCCACACTCAATCAACAAGCTTTGTTGCATGCCGGTGGATAGTGCACAGCGCTTGGGCTTTCAAGTTCTCCCAGGTGTGTAGACTGGTTGATAGCTTTCATGAAGTATCATGTGTAGTCTTACAAGGGGAGGATGTCGCTGGACATTGCAGGGATTTTCGCAGGGCCCGTCAACACTACATAGCACCTTCCCTGCATCCTTGAACGCTTAACCGGCATTTGTTGCTTCCGACCGGGACATGTGTGTGAATCCAGCTCTTGCATTATTTTATCAGGCTTGTATCGTTTGAAAAGCGAAGAGCATCCATGTCTGTGTGTAAGTTTATCTTTTTCCAATCATCTTCAACCAGTGCCCGACTTACACAGCTCTTCAATTCAATGTTTGAGCTGACATTGGCAAGTTTTGCACCGGCGGTCAAGCGCAGGTGGAAGTCCACGCCTGGAGTGCTTGCACCTCTCAATTTGGCGGACAAGATGCTTCGGACGCTTGTGAGGCACACTCGTGTGGAAGGATGACACCTACTAGTGACATGGCTGTGAGTCTTAATGGGGAATATCGGATTACCTTCCTTGGTGGACGGACATATAGCGAAGCAAGAATTACTCAAAAAGGATACAACTCCGACTCCACAAACAACACTCTGATTCGGTCGGTGGACATAAATGCCCATGCAAATAGTATCCACCAAATGGCTGGCATGGTGTCTGTCCGCAGTCTGAAGAATGTTTGGGATGATCGTGGTCCTGCCGATGCATACAAGCCTCCACCTGCGGATCAGGCTCAGCTGCAGGGAATTCTCATATGTCATGTTTACTTTGCACGGTCAGCGATCAACGTGGTCGCTTTGCAGGCTGTCAGGAGCGTGCAGGCAAACTTGAATGAGATTCGATCTCTGACAAGGCTGCGAGGGGAATTGGCACTGAAATCTCATGCTTAGTGGCGTGTCACCCATTTGGGCAGCGCTGCTGCATGCCTGGAGGTTCACCAGAAGTTCTTGGTTTCGGACATTATCTTTGGTGGGATTCGTTGCTTTGGCATCAGTCTTACAGCCATGGGTCCTGTTCTCAAGCAGTGAGGCGCGCAAATTTGGCGATGCGGAGTTGGCATTTTTTGCTTGAAGAGGTGGTGTTGCCAGTGGCTGGTGCACTCCTGACAATCTTTGTGGCTGTGTTTGACTCAGCTGGCAAGTGGCACTTGCATCAACACGCTGGACACTTTCCACCTTCTGTAGAGATGGGTTGGTCTGCATCCAATGCCAGTTTCGTATTTGTGCGACCACTGGATCAGAAAAATACGTCTGACTTTCAAAGAGTAGTAGGAAAGCTAGAGAAGCATTGGCTGAAGATGCACTGTTCTTGTTTGGGGGGCTAAGGCATCTGAAAGCGATGCGCGGCAAAGCGCGTCAGCTTCGAAGGCAATCTGCCGAGGCATGTTGAGAAGAGTAGGCTTCCTTTGCAGATGGTGCAGGTGAAAGCAGCTGATTTGAAGTCCGCCTGCAGCACAATGGAGGATTTATGCAATGCAATCTTGTCTTTTGTTCAGATTTGTTGGAGCAGCACCTGCACCTGCCACTCGCCACCTGCAGCATGAGGTAGTTTGAGGGTTGGTGGTCAACCCGATGTAAAGCAGTGACTGACAACGATCGTTGGCAAGCCACACAGTGCTCCCAGTCTCGCGGCAGGAGTTCGCTGCATCTGCCATGCAGTTCCGGTCCTACCTGTTGGCCTTTGCTGGCTGCACTGCCGCTACTTGTGTGCCGTGGATGCATTGGGCATGAAGCACTTTTTCTGGTTAGTTCATTCGTGAAGCTTGCCAGGTGCTGTCTTTGGTTTCCATCAAGCCAGGAGCCCTCAGCTTAAGGCGGGCAATGGATGTTGGTGACGCCGCTTGTCTGATTTCGTCACGCCAAATCAGGGCAACAGAACTAGTCTACTGAAGCTCAACACACAGATCTTGACTGGAATGTACTCACACAGAAAGAAGCTTACGTAAGAAACACGGACAGAGACGTACTGTGCAAAGACAGAAACGCACAACTATACGCAAACCACACAAACATCACCCACACACACACACACACACGCAAACCACACACACACACACACACATGCACCAACAAGAGGTACTGGTCTCGATTGTGCCTGAAGAGAATCAGATTGATGACCTGCGCAAGAAGCAAACCGCCCTGCAGAAGGTACAGCTGGTTGCGTGCCGTGCAGCAGTATTGGAGCTTGGGGCTAGTGGTGTTCCATGTGGCCAGTGGCTCAGCTGATGTCAACCTGAAACGTCGAACCGTTTCAAGCGTTTCAGCTTTGGTTCTTGAGGTCGCTGCAGCCTGCAGCACCTTTCCACTCAAGGCGGCGCGGCACTTCCCCCAAGCTGTTGGCGCTGAAATGACGGATGGGCTGGGTCAGCCGAATTGTTGTTTGGTTCAGAGTGGTGGGCCATGGAAGGGAGGCAATCAAGCTCCAACTGTGCAAAATAAAAGCAACTGGCGCATGCGCTTGTCAGTGAAGCAAGAGTTTCACGCGCATTAACTGTGATCATGGCAGCCTTTGCAGACCTGAATCGACCGGTGGTTCCTACCACAAGGTGCCAAACGCGCCACTGCAATGGCATCACCACAAGCAGATGCGAAGCAGGATTTTTAGTGAGCAATGCACATCAACATGGCTCCAACAAACTCAGTTTCTGAAATGAGGCGTTGAACGCACAACATCGGCTGGCTGGGGACTCATGTGGCTGTGGGTCAAAAAACATGGGCACCCAAAATGGAATCCTGGTAAATGGAACCATGGACTAAAAACTGCGGCCTTGGTGGTTTAATTTTGCATACCCATGTGACAGCAGATGACAATGTGCTGGGGCCATGCAGGCTGTATTGCTGTGGACCTCAAGGGTGAAGCTTGACGTGCCAGCATCGAGGACAGCGTGGACCGCGGCTTGGGACGTTGGCTTGTGCTGAAGTGCAGGAGTTCTATCTATCCACAGCCCCTAGCGCCTGGTGCTGTTGTTCAAGGGTTGCCGAAGGGTCATCGTGAGCGCGGCACGTTTTAGTTTGCTTGGTAGGAACTGTCGCACCTGGCTGATGCCAATCAGATGTTTTCATTCACATTGCAGTGGAAACTTGTTCTGCACGTGTTGAGTTGCAGTGTGCAACAATGCAACGTTCTAGTCGAGTTTGGCATTGTGACAAACATACCATACAATCATCCAACCAACAGTCATTTGTTGGTTGCTGAACGAGATATTTGCACATCCAGCAGTGCGAAACACAGTACAGGCATCCTTGCTTAACTGTAGTTTTGCGCGGCAGGTTGGCGGGATCTCTTTTGCCATGGCCGATGGAGCTGGTTGTGCGAGTCTCAAAAGGAAGGGCCAATCGTGAGAACATTCACTTCTGCTTCCGAGGCAACCCCTTCTTGCAGCATTTCCTTGCGTGCTTTTAGCCCTGTTTCCATCAAGCAGGACAGGTTTGCAATAGCAGTGTGTTTCAACAAGATGAATGGATGTGACATCACTTTGTCGAGGAGCTTTGAGGAAAGGTCGATCGCGTCAACTGCAGCAAGCAGCCTGGTGGTCGGCCCCTCATCGAATCTCGTGAACTTGCAACGGGGTTGGCTGCAGTGCGGCGTGTCGCTATGTGCATCCTGTTTGCCCCACATGGAGCGAGGGACGATACGGCTCGTGACAGGTGGCTGCTACGCTGTGTCTTGCGGAGCGTGCCTTGTACCGCACGGACCGCCTTGAGCATGTGTGCATGCTCTTGTAATTTTGCCGCAGTCTGAACTCGAGCTTCAGTTTCTCCAACAGCTAGGAGCTTCTGATTTCCGGCCGGCGCATTAGCTTTGCTCTGACGGATTCATTAGCAAACGAGGCCAGATTGATTTGCAAAAATGGCGATTCTTCCTCGAGTTTGGGCAAGACAGGTCCAAATGTTTTGTGACAGGCTGAGCAGCAGAGCGCTTTGCTGCCAGTCGCCACGGCGGGGAGCTTGTGATGATGGAGAGAAGCCACATGTCGAGCCAAAGTTTTCAGTTTGCTTCCACGGCCTGTTTTACTTTCTTGATGTTTTGCAAATCCACCCCAGCAGGCAGCGACCATCGCAGTCTCTGCAGCTGTAACGTTTGGAGTGGAGCTGAACCCCTTTGCGGCCTCGGCTTTGGCCTTACTTCAGGTCGGGATCTTGGCTTTCAGTGCTGACTCAAGTTCAGCGGTTGACTCCCAGAACTGTGTTGCCTTGCCGCGGCCAGGCAGTTACTTGGGTCTTGGCATCCAGGAAGGCCTTGGAGGCGAGATTTGGGAGCGACGCAGCGATTCAGGCTGGTTCTCTCGAGCTTAGTATCACAAGTGTGTGCGTGTGTTTGTAGGCCTGATTTCTTTGCCAGGTGGCCACTGTGACTGATGGCCGCGTTGCCCGTCCTGGACGCCCGCAGGAGGACTCTGATGGTAACTCTTTCTCCTAGCGGAGGCTTCAAAGGCAACTTGCATGAACAAACTGGATCAATCTTAGATTCTGATGTAGAACCTGGCTGCTTCCATAGAGCATGCGAAGCGCCTTGTTCAGGACGTCTCTCCAAAGAGACTTGGGCAATGGAGAAGCTGGGTCAGCATGTTCAGTCGGCCTACTTGAGAAGCGTCGGGCTTCGCCGTTACCTCAGATAACTACTCTGTAAAAGAAAGGTCAGTCAGTTGATGTACTCGATTGGGTCTTTAGGGCTGAAAAAGGCAGTCGTGCCTGCACTATTGGTCATGTCGAGCTTGCGAGCTTGCTTCAGTGACGTTATTCGTGCTCATTGCATAGCATGATATACTCAGAGTCACCTGGCGCTGTACCCAGCAACATAAAGGTCATGCAAGTGCACAATCACAGCTTCAGCTACTTGCTTTGTAGTTTGCCAACGGCAAATCCCTTTGTTCAGCCAATTTCGCAACATTCTCGCCAAACCTTCTTGCTAGTGCTTCAGTCGGAAAAGCAATGTAGCCGTCAGCGCATCTCTGCGCCATGATTTGGATGTGCTGAACTGCACACATGCCGATCTTGCCTGGAGCCCTCAAAGGCAACACCTGGCATTCTCTTGTGCTTGAAGCTTGCTTTGAGTGTTTTGTGGTGCCAGAACCTGGTCCCGATGACGAGGGCGCTGAGGGCCTTGAGGGCTTTGAGGGGGAGGTGCGAGGGATCTTCCAAGATCTGTGAGAGGGAAGTGCATAAAATTACCAAAGTTGCCGGCAGACAACCAGTCGCTAACCGGTGGCCGGTTGCCGGTGGCTGGGGGACGCAGGCCACACCAAGTACGGCCAGAGACCTCAAGGCACTGGTCGCAGATCCAGCAGCCAGGTCCGGCGTTTCGAAACATTCGGGAATCTTTTGTGGCATTTCACCAGGCGTGTGGCGTTCCCCTCCTCCGACGCCCAACCGCACACAGAGAACGTGCAGGGATAGAGTTGACTTGCGATCAAGTGAGGACCTAGCCAAGCTGCCATTGGTGCCACCTGCACCGCCAGAGGTGCTAGAGAATTCAAAGTGCTTTCCAGATTCGCAGCGGGTGAGGCAGATGATATTCGAAGTACGAGCAAGCGGAGCGCTGGCAAGCCTTTGGACCGAGTTTAATGCGGCAAGGGGTAACGATAGTATTTGATGCAATCATTTTCCAGGAAGCAAGGACGCCACCTTCTGGCGCCAGCAGCCCGAGCAGCAGTAGATCCTTGCGCTCAAGCCCCTAGCTTACATTTTGGCGAACAGAAGCATGATGCGTGTCCTCACATGTTGTGTTTGTTCGAGCACATTTTTGCTCACAGGAGATGCGAGCAAAAGTGAATTGCGCCGCCGCACAACCAGCAAAGGGAAGGCCAGCTGAATTGATCACAGTCTGTTTTGGCGGCATTGCCAATCAAGCAGCCAGATGTTTGCTCATGTGCTTCACGCCGAGGTTCAAGTGATTGCCGTTCCTGAAGCTGTCACCGTGCCTGACATCCCGGATTCGGTGCGGGGCGTGACAATGTTGTTGTGTTTGTTGCTTGTTTGCTTGTTTGTCTGTTTATTTGTTTGTTGTTTGTTTGTTGTTTGTTTGTTTGTTTGTTTATTTGTTTGTTGTTTGTTTGTTGTTTGTTTGTTTGTTTGTTTGTTTGTTTGTTGTTTGTTGTTTGTTTGTTTGTTTGTTTGTTTGTTTGTTTGTTTGTTTGTTTGTTTGTTTGTGTGTTGTTTGTTTGTTGTTTGGTTGTTGGTTGGTCGTTGTTTGTGTTTGTTGTTTGTGGTTGTTTTGTTTGTTGTTTGTTGTCTTAGTTGCTTGTACGTAGTTTTATGTTGTCTGTAGTTTTTGTTGTTTGTAGTTCTATCTTACTTATTATTTAATTATTATCGTCGTCGTCGTCGTCGTCGTCGTCGTCGTTGTTGTTGTTGTCCTTGTCGCGGTCCGTTGTCGTTGTCGTTGTCGTTGTCGTTGTTGTTGTTGTTGTTGTTGTTGTTGTTGTTGTTGTTGTTGTTGTTGTTGTTGTCGTCGTCGTCGTCGTCGTCGTCGTCGTCGTCGTCGTCGTCGTCGTCGTCGTCGTCGTTGTTGTTGTTGTTGTTGTTGTTGTTGTTGTTGTTGTTGTTGTTGTTGTTGTTGTTGTTGCTGCTGCTGCTGCATGCCACGTGGCCACCTTGGCGGAGTCGTTTGGGATGTTCCAGTGAGATTTGACGGAAGGATGATGCTATCTCCGGACTGCCAGGAGCGCATGGCAATGTTCAGCATGCTGGCGTAGTCACCATCGTATTTTTCTGCAACTGCTGATATACACACACACACACACCTAGCTGCTAGCTCTCGCCTTTCTCACTATTCTGAAGGAGTTAGAGAGTCACATGTGAGGGAGGCGCGGCGCAGCTTCATCAGAACGCTGGCGATGTGCGGCAGAACTCAGGCCTTTGCCCAGATTGACTTCGACGGCAACGGCTTCATTGGAGTCTCTGAACTCCGGTATCTGCTGACTGTGCTGGGTGAGGTCTGACGGTCAGGATCATATGGACATCCTGTTCCATGCATGGAATGCATCAGGAGCCAACTGATGCCGAGTTGGACGAAATGTTGCTCAGCTGAGCATAACTCGAAGGTGTTGTTGCGTGCACCAACTTGTCCCTGCCTTTTTTTTACTTCTTTGTTTTTATCACTCGATTCTTGCCTCTTAGGCTAGCTGGCTGGCTGTGCTTGTTGCGTTGCTTCGCCTTGCCTTGCCCTGCCTTGCCCTGCCTTGCCTGCTATTTTGCTTGCTCGCCTGCCATTTCTTCAGTGCTTTTGCTCGGTTCTTTCTTTTTGTCGCTTGTTTGGCCCGCCCGCTGGTTCGCAGGTTAGCAATAATTGGCGCTGAGGGAGATGGACAAGCTGCATATGAGGCCGAACATGCAGGCAGCAAAGGATTTCTTAAAACATGTCTGTGAGGACTTCCGGATACTTTTCGAGCCAAAGAGTTCCGTGTTGGCCGAGATGCTGACCATGGCTCCTGAACCATCGGAGGCTTTTGACACATCACTTGTTGTGTTTTGGAGACTTGACTACGAACATTCGTTTCTTGTCTTGGCACAATCAGCGATATTGGCAAGTCTGTGCAGCCCAGGCGGGCAAAGATCTCGCTGACAGAGATGACGAACAGAGTGAGTCTGACGCACAGTGGTTCTCCTAAGTTGAAGGGTCGGAATTGCGCTTCTCTCAGGCAAGAGGAAATACCGAGGCCTGGGGCCAGTCTTGGCCGTGCATTAATGCAGACATGACAAGTGAGCTCAAGTGGATTGAGGCTTGAGGCACCACCTCAACAACTTGGCCTTCTAGTGAAGGCACATGTCAAGAGAAAGTATGAGACAGCTCTAAGGACCTTCAGTATGTGCTAGCTATCGACAGGGCGCGGCAAGCTTCATGCAGGCAAGGATCAAGAAGGACCTGATCGATTGGTTGAAGTTCACACGTCAACCACGAGGCAATGTGTTGCCATTTAGTACCCCTTCACGTGCAGGAAGATGCAGGGAAAAAGAAGGCATCCAGAGCCAGGCCAAAGGCCGCGCAGCGTGTCCCACTGATCGACTCCGATTGGATTGTTCCGGTGACATTGTTAGAGCAATGCAGCGATGGGCAAGCGTGTGTGTTGACCATTGACCCGCAGAGAGCAAATCGGAGGCCAAAGCTCCCGGATCTAATCGTGCTCGGCCTGTGCTTGGTCCTCCAAGACACGCACAGGCGACCTGTAAACTGAATAATTTACTTTGCCTTTGCTACATTTGCCCCGTCTTTGCCTCATTTGCTTCGTTTTGGGACTTACCTTGCACCTGATCCATGGCAGATGATGCCGCCGGGGTTGCCGAACATGGCCGCGGTTCAAGGTGCAGCAGGCGCAGGTGCGGAATGCTGCGTGTTTTGGCGGATCTTGGCGGCTGGCAGCCTGTAAGTCCTTTGCCGTGACAGGCGCTTTCACCAACGTCCGGAGACAGCCACCGCCCGTTCCTGGACATATGTCCAGCATGCCGCCGCTGCCACCAGGCAATGCAGCAAGGTTCACAGCAATAATTTTGTGGAAATGCCACGCCAGGCTACCTGATTGGCACGGAAAAAATGTTCCAACACCAGCCTGGTCAGCCTGGCCTTGCTGGCCCTGGGCAGCCTGGTCTGCCCGGACAACCTGGTCAGCCCATGCCTGGCTAGAGCCTCGAATCCATGTCAGATGTCCTTTCTGAGCTCAGCTGAAGGCCCCGGGGGTGCACCTGGCGCACCTGGCGCACCTGGGGTGCCAGGTCAAATGCCGCCTGCCGGAGGACAAAAGCACCTTGTGTCAATGACAAAAGTCTACAAGTTGTATGATTCAAGCATCCGACTTGGCAAAGCGGGACTCTAGGACCGTTTCCCGTACCAGGGCCAGGCCATGGCTTTGCCTAACGAGCCACATGCAGTGAGCTAATGTGCAGGAGCGGCGGATCCGCTTCTTCAGCCAAGTGCCAGGCTTAAGCGTTCAACTTTGCGCAGCTTCGCAGCTTCGCAGCTTCGCACCTTTACGCTTAGCTCAAGAGATGTTGCTGTGAGCTGAGAGCTGGGCACTGACCGTGAATTGCTGCCCGAGTTTCTGCAAACTTCACCGCCAATCCGCCTCCAAAACATCTTACGTTCCTGGAATACCAGGAGACCGCATTGGCGAGGATGTTGCGCTTGAGAAGCAGCATGCATGACAAGGCTGTTGTACGGCTTTCAAATTTGTCCTGGATCAGGAGATGAAGTTGGAGCATGAGGTGCTTGCCTCGACACGTGGAAGCCACCTATATTGCGAAATTGCAGTCTGCCTTACTGCGTGTTGCATGATTGGGCGCTCCAAGGTCCAACAAAAGATCCGGCGTGAGGAGGAAAGTGACAGCGATTGAAGCCACAAGCGCTCGCACGAGAGTTTCACCTGGCACAAAAAGTCAGCTCCCTGAAGCACAAAACATGTTGCACCATGCGAGGTATAGGGACATGTCACTGGCACGAAGCTTGAGGACCGAGGCTCGCATACCGTCTGCCTTTGGCTCAACTAGCGGCCATTGCCCAGCCGGCACACAGGTGAGGTTTTCATGCACGGTTCGTCAGAGCTAGGAAGCTGTCTCCGCCAATAAGCATTCTTACAGGCTTGGCATGGCACGTGAGGCCAGCAAGTCTGCCTCGGTGTGTACCATGGCCACGGAGGCTGCAAGTTTCCAGCGTGCAGAGCAGAGTCAAATTGCAAGTGCCGCAAGTGCTAGGAGCCCCGGGTAGATGCAGAAGATGAGGAGGCTGAAGGTGAGCAGGCTGTGGTGGCCTCGAAACCGGCAGGCTGTCATCATGAACCCCACTTGCCCTCTTTGCGGACATTGTTCGGTTGTTTGCTTGCAGAACAGACAATGCTTGAAGAGATTCTGCAAGGGTTTTTGCTGCTGGCAAGCGAGCTGTGCTCACGATTTCTTTTGAAATGCACTTAGGATGGCACCTTGGATCCAGATTTGTTGGCAGCATGCATCAGGCAGCACCAATCTATCTCTTGGCGAGCATTTGACTACACAATAGCTTGCACTTCAGTATCAAACTTGCTGAGCTTGTAGGAATGACACAGAGGCTGCAAAACGGTTGATCGAGCAGGACTGGGCATAAAGCGGGCTTGCGCTGCAGCATTTGATTTGGGCTGCAAGACAAGCTGCTGTGACTCCTCGACTGTGCCAGGGTGCAAATCCTTGCTGCGAAGACCAGCGACAGCAACTTGCCCAGCTGCCTCACATGGCAGAGCTTGCTTGACTACTTGACATCTTGGCCCATAAGGTGGAGTCCACTGATTTGGGCTGCATCTCATGGAAACGAGGACTTTCTGCAATTGTGCAGGGCTGACCAAGGCTTTCTTTGAGGAACCTTTAGCCATGGGAAATTGTCAATCATCGTAGTGCTCTCGAATGTATGTTAGTGCCAAGCAAGACGTGTCATTCAACGCTACAGATAGCGTACAGAGTATACAAGGACGTTGTCTCGCAGCAGGATCTCACCCGACTCCTCATCAAGCACAATGCAGCGGAGGCTATTTGACTGCACGTGCCATGTTGTGATAGAGCATTGACGACAATATATTGATCATAGTTTGCAGCTTTCTAAGGTGTACAAGTATGACGAGACAACCAAGGCCATGCGCACTCCCACTAAATGCGGGTGTTTTTGTCAGTTGCATTTGTTCAGGATCATTAACACCAGGGTGCTTGTGGCAAGTCGCCGCATCAGGTCTCAGGCCAATTTTCTTGGCGTAGCTGCTAGGCCAAAAAGAAGCACAGCCCCTTGCACTGGGCTGCCTTCAAAGGCCACCTCAAGGCACGCTCGAAGTCGGGAAAGCTTCTTTTGCTCGCTTTTGGAGCAGTTGGTTTGGACAAGTGCACCGATGATTGGCTTTGCGACGGCTTCGGCTCCGGTCAAAGCTGACAAGCTGGAGCTGCAACGGCTGCCTCGATGGTCATGCAACCCTTTGTTTGGCTGGTGGGTCAATTCCCTTGGAAGCAATCATTGATGCACCATGTGCTGAAGCGTCAAGCTGAGAAAAGCACCAACAAGCAACACTTCACCAGCTTGTGCCCCATGCCTGCGAATGGGGCAGCTTTTGTCGACCACTATCAGGCTGGATTGTGTTATAACAAACCACGCCACAAGGGGCTTTTGTTGTGACTTGGCAGGTGCTGGGATGTTCCCCGGATGCCACTCCTTCGGAGCTGAAGCGTGTACGCCGAGCCATTTTGGTATATTGTGGCCGTTCAATTTGTTGCCTCTCTCTCTCTCTATTCATATATATATATATATATATACATGCTGTTAACATACATCCATTTTGTACATGACACGGCCCTTTGTACATCAAGGCCTTGAGCCTACAGGTCTACAGATAGACTACAGCCCTCGCCAGACAACAACAAGTGCCGCGCTGTCACATCACAGGTTTGACACATTTAGGTCGTCAGGTGTTTACACAGTCAGTCCCACTTTAACATGGTAGCGGAGCAGTGATCCCTGGTACACGATCCACGATCACAACCCAGGGTGAGCTCCAACATACACCCACAGGTTCAGGTACACAGTAGTGAGCAACATGGCACAACAACAGCGACAGCAACAGGAACAGCAGCTGGAAGGAATCCACAGATTAAAGATATCACCACCACGGTTCACAGGAGCATACAACACCTTCGAAGAATGGAAGTACAAGATGACAACATATTTGGGGCTGCAAGACCCAGCATACAACAGACTGCTGAAACAGTCAGAGCAATCAACAGGACAAGTTACAAACGACCAACTTGAGAATGCAGCACCTTCACAAGCAGTAGCAGAGCAATGGGTACCACTGAGCAACAACTTGCGCTACCTCTTCGTGAGCACACGCAATGGACCAGCATGTACAATCTGGAGGCAAAACACGCACGGCGACGGATTTGAAACATGGCGGCTGGGTACTCCATACCACTTGGTGCAAGGAGCTTTGGGTACCTTACACGGCTGCTAAAGCCACAACTTGATGAACAGAAGTTCGAAGAGAGCTTCGCAACATGGGAGTTTCAACTCTCCAGGTATGAACAGGACAACAACACACTACTACCAGATGCAGTCAAGATTGCAATACTGCTCAACGAGACAAAAGGACCACTACAGCAACATCTACAGCTGCAAGCAGGAAACATCGCAACATATGCACAGATCATATCAATGGTGATCGAGTGCTACAGAGCGACAGCATCATTCACCAGGCTTCAAGCAATCTTATCAAGCAACAATAACCAAGGACCAGCACCGATGGACATAGGAGCAACATGGTACAACAAAGAAAGGCAAGCGCAAGGGCAAAGGAAAGCGCAACAAAGGCAAAGGCTATGGCGGCTACGGCAACAACTACAGCTACAACAGCTACAAAGGAGGAAAAGGCAAGTGCAATCAACAACCGGTTGGACAAGGAAACCCGTTCAAAGGACAACAAGGATATGGCAAAGGAAAGGGATACAGCAACAAAGGAAAAGGCAAAGGATACTACAACAACCAACAAGGAGGAAAGGGAGCAAAAGGAAAACACGCAACAAATGTTTGCTACAGATGCGGACAACCAGGACACATGGCCAGACAATGCGACACAGGAACCTTCGACAACGACTGGTATCACCAGGGTCAGTCGCACATGCGCCAACTGGCGCTACCACAGCCGCCACAGGTAGCAGATCCATCAGCGCGCTTCTCCAGTCCGCCGCTGCGTGCGTCCCAGCCGCAGCCGACGTTCCTCTCACGCGATGATCCCGCGTGTCACGCCGAGCGGCTGCGCGGCTAGTCGGCGCGCGTCATGGGCCTTGCGGGCTTCCCGCACCCGTGCGCCCTGCGCGAGTCCGTTGCGGGGCGGTGCGTAGCGGCGAAGCGGTCGTGCCAGCAGGGCGGCCGGGCTGGAGTCCTCGGTCGCCTCGCGCGCACTTACCACTCCTGCGTCGTGTTGCCAGCGGCCCACGCGAGCGGCACACGTCACCCGCATGTCACGGAGCCCGTGAGCCCGACCGCTTCGCAGCCAGGCGCCGCAGCTTTTGGTCTGGGGCGGTGTTCCTGCGGCGTTTGGTTGCGCGCCACCTAGCACAAAACTTTGCAAATCGGCGCCTGGACGCGTGCCAACCTTTTCAGTTTGCCCTGTCCACCCGCGCCGGCACCGAGGCCGTCGCGCCCTGATGCCACCATCCTGTCTGTGGACAGGGTTTGCGCTTTTGATCACATCAGCCGCCAAGCCATGTTGTAGGCACTGTCCAATGTGCTTGGTGCCAACGCTTGCGTGCCGTTTGTGCGCAAGTTTTACGAACGCTAGGCGGCTCTCGCCCGGATGAGTTCCACAGTCGGGGCTTGCCGCGGTGGAGCCGGGTGCGCATGCCGGTGCAAGTGCAAGGACAGCAGCTCAAACACAGCACGCAGAGGCTGTCTTGCCGGGAAAGGCGTCGGCACTGGTCACGGCGCCCCGCCGCTTCGCTGCACTTGTTCAAGTAGTACCCATCTCAGGATTATATGCAGCGCAACAACCAACAGAAGACAACAAATGGGTCAGTCTCATGATTGAGCGGTGCGGCTAGACATGTATGCCCACTATGGTTGCCATCACAATTCCCACTACACCAACTAGCGCATGGCGGGACCACAACTCAGAACAGTAACCAACCAGCGCATCAAACTTTTTGGGTGCAGATGGGTTTGCGACAGCGGACAACAGATTGCCATACCGTTTTACGTTTGTGAAGTTAAACAGCCAATTCTTTCGGTTACAAGGCTCGTGGAACAAGGTTTCCAACTTACACTGGATGACAACCCAAGACTACAGCGCATCAAAGGTTTCAACAGCGCAATGGAGAACAGAAATGGCCTGTTCTTCCTACAAGCAGAAATCGCAACAGTGCCAAAAGGAGCAAAGCTACAGATAGACAACACAGAACAAGGACAGATTGGCATGATAGCACCGACCACAACGCTTACACCACAAGGTCCTGCAGATACAGGATACGCAGGCAAACAATGGAAGAGCCAAACAAAGCACAACCACAGGTGTGGAAAGGAGAAACAGCGTTCAGGATCAAGAAAGGCACAAAATTGCCAGAAACACTACAGCAACAGTTTGCAACAAAGACACAGCCAAGGAGCGAGCCACAGAAGGTCACACCACAAGTGATTCACTACAACCCACGAACAAGATTGAGAGAGAAAACAACACCACCAACACTACAGGAATCACCACACACCATGAAAGGTGCAGCTGGACATGGACTTCCACATCCTTCAGAAGTACATCCTGGAAAAAAGACTACTGGTACAGAGAAGGCCCATACTGGAAAAGAGTACATGTTGAGCCTCGAACAGCGTTTTACATACCAGAGCAGACACACGACGGTCAAGCGACCCACACGTTGGAGACAAACCAACGTACAACCAGTACACAGCCAGCAAAGACATCAGACAAGCCTTGGAAAGGCTGAGGAACAGCAGGAGTTTCCCGCACAACTTGAGTCAGATGATGAGGAATAACAACCGGGTACAAAAGCAAAAGCAGTACAAGCACCCAAGCAATCAACGCCACAGGAGATACTCAAGCGCAACGTGACACATCTCCCTTACAGGAGTTGGTGTCCAATATGCGTACAAGCAAGAGGCAGGCAGAACAATCACCCAAAGCAACACAGCAAGCTTCCAATCATACAGCTTGACTTCGGCTACATCAAATGTTTTGATGACAGCAACGTACATCCAATTCTCACAGCAATTGACATCCAGTCTGGGATGATCATGGCACTACAACTGACAGACAAGAGAATGCTCTTCGACTACGCAGTTACACCGCAACAGCGCCTCCTCATTGAATGTGGAAGGACAACACACACCATGCTACAATCGGATCAGGAAGACAGCGCCCATCACAGCAGTGGCAAACAAGAATGGCAACATCACCATAAGGGACTCAGGAGCATACAGTTCACAATCGCAAGGAGGAGTACAGCGAGCACATAGAACACTGTTTCCACAAATCAGAACACTCAAGGCACAGATCAGACAAAACTACAACAGAGACATTTCAATGAAACATCCACTCATGCCTTGGATAGTTCGACACAGTGCATACATCATGAACAGCTACTTCAACAGATGGAGCAGAGAGCAACATACACCACTTTGCAAGTTTGGTGAGACAGTGCAATCCATGCTACCAACAGTGAGACAATTTCCAAAACCCGAGCCGAGATCCTACAACGGGATCTGGCTTGGCAAGAATACAACCACAGGTGAATCCCGCGTTGGGATCTCCAACAAGATTGCCAGAGCAAGGACAATCAGAAGGCAGATCATGCCTCACAAGTACAATCCGCAACTACTGGACTGTGTACACACAGTTCCATGGAAGACACCAGCATCAGCACTGCATACACCAACTCTCGCAACACCATTGACAGTGCCAGCTACAAGCAAGGCACCACCACCACAGAAAGATGCAACAACGAGCGCAGCAGCAGAAGGAAAGAGACAGAGCGCAGCACAAGCAAGCGACCAGCCAACAAAGCAGAAGAGAATAGCAGAGCCAACATCACCAATGGCTACATCACCATCACCAGAAGCGACCAGCGCTGCCAGCGCCACCGCCTACACCACCCACAAGAGAAAGAGATGACGCAATAGCAGAAGGCAGCACAGGCAAGCAACAGCGCGCCACAGAAGAGAGACAAGCGCTCGAGCGACCTACAACAGCCGAACAGCCAAGGGGCAAAATGAGAATAGATGTCATCAAGTTCACAACACAGGATGGTAAACAAATGGAGACAACATCC